GCGGAAGACCGGAAGGCCTAGCGGGATCTGGTCCATGGGGTCGCAAAGAGTCGCACTCGACTGTGCGACTGAACAACAACAACAACAAAATTTCCCATTACTACAAATGGATGTGAAAGTTGGGACAGTGAAGAAAGCCGACAGGAAGAAAGTTGATTCATTTGAAATGTGGCGTTGGAGGAGAGTTTTACATATACCGTGAACCGCCAAAAGACCAATAAGTGGGTTCTAGATAAAATCAAGCCTGAACTTTCCCCAGAAGCTAAAATGACTAAACTAAGGCTAGCACACTTTGGTCACATCATGAGAAGAGTCACTGGAAGCGACAATCATGCTAGGAAAAGTTGAAGGCAGCAGGAAAAGAGGAAGACCCAACAGGAGATGGACGCACTAAAGGAAGTCGCTGCCCTCCGTTTGCAAGACCTCAGCAAGGCTGTCAAATGATAGGATGCTTTGGAAGATATTACTTCATAGATTCAAGTGGGTAGCCGTTTTGGTCTGAAGCAGCAGAACAAAGTTTGAGTCCAGTGGCACCTTGAGGACCGACAAAGTTTTATTCTGGGTATAAGCTTTTGTGTGCATGAATCGTAGAACTGGAAGGGAGCTCCAGGGTCATCTAGTCCACAATTCACAAACACCTCCCCCCCACACACTCCATGACCCCTGCCCTATGCCCAGAAGGGGGGGGCTCCAGGATCTCCGGCCAAACTGGCCTGGAGAAAAAATGCTTCCTGGCCCCCAAAGTAGCAATCAGCATTTCCCTGCGCATGTAAGAAAGGGCCAGAAGAACTAAGCACTGAGGCAACCCTTCCTGTCCTCCCTTCAACCCTTCCTGTCCTCCCTTCTTGTGATCTGCCTAAGTTCAGCATTGCTGTCAGATGGCTATCTAGCCTCTGCTTGAAAATCTCCAAAGGAGAGCCCACCACCTCCCGAGGAAGCCTGCTCCACTGATGAACCACTCTGTCAGGATGTTCTGTGAAGAACTGTGCATGCACATTGAAAGCGTATACCTTGCATAAAACTTCGTTGGTCCTGAAGGTGCCACTTTACTCAAAAGATTTTTCCTATTACTTCACAGAGTCGCCATAAGTCGGAGTGGACTTGACGGCATTACACTCACACACTTGCATAGCTAGAATCCTCACAATGGCAAGAAATACACAGGACAAAATATTTTTAACAGCCAAAAACAGCATTCCTAGTGTTGGGAAAATACAATATCCTGTCAATGGAAATGCAGCCTTGAAGGGAAACCTACAGCATCCCGGGCAACACATGAGGAATACCTCATTTATTGTATTAAAAGTCCATTAATTGGGAAGTGTCTAAAACATCAAAGAAACACCGTTGAGAGCCAGGATGTCATAGTGGCTAGACTCTGGGGCATGTACAGAAGGTTTGGTTTCAAATTCCTACTTGAGCGCAAAGCTCAATGAATCATCTTATACTAGTACATCTTTCTCAACGTATTTCTCTGTTAAGGTTTAGGCACATGGTTACCAGTACCTTAGCTCACTGGAGAAAGGGAGACATAGAAATGTAATACAGCTAGACAGAATCATGAGGGGTGGGGGAAAGAGGGTAGATCCAATTACCGGATCTAGTCTATTCTGCTAATTTTTAATCACCCTAACACTAAAGATCTGCATTGTACCATCCACACCGGGTGTGTAGCATCAAAACACTGCAAACTAGAGGACTCTGAAGAGGTGGCACAGAAATATTTTGAATAAATCGTAATGCCCGTTACTGAACACAGTGCTTACACACAAAGCTGTGATAAAACTGTGTAAATGCCAATAAAATATACCTGGTCAAGGATTCTGTGCATGACATTTCAAAGAAACGAAGTGGGGTTGGCACAGGTCGTCTTCTAGGAAAAGAAAATAATTACCTGGGAGTTTAGTCACCCCTTGCATGGTTACTCCTGTGCATGATTACTCAGGAACACCACATTCCTTGGGACTCAAGGCCACAAGCCAAACATGTTTAGCTTACAGTGTGCCACTGAACTCAGTGGGAGTTAATTCAGAGGAAACATGCTCAGGAGGCATGGCCCCTTCCAAGCAAGAACAGAGGCATGAGAAAAGCAAATCCAGGCAAAATGATTAAGAGGCAAGAGCTGAGATATTCTTTTTAAGCATTTACAAAAGGACACATTTATTTTCCTCTTCCCAATTTTCACTCCCCCCATTCCTCCCAGTAGCTATGTGTAAGCCCACGTGCTAATCTTTCTTGCATCCATAGCCTAGGTGAACTTCAGGAGTGGTCAAACCGTTGCCACTCTTTTACGGGAGGGCACCCCCCCCCCAAAGAAAAGAACTTGTATTAAACAACTTCCTTAACGTGATTGGAAGACGAAAGAAACGTTTTGGAAGTCCAGGGCTGTGTTCTGGAACAACTGTTGTGTTACTAAACTGTGACATCACAACAAATTTGGTACCTGAAGACACAGGACTTCCTGGTTTAGAAATTCTTCAGTTTTCTTTGGGAGGGGGAGAGCAGGGAGAGATAGAAAGCTAAGCAAGGACTGTTCTTTGGGGGTTTTGGGATGTCTGAATACAGCCTCACCGTCAGAATTAAACTTAAGTTTGACGCCGCTTTGACTTAGCAGATGTTTGCCCCCAAAATCCTACATAGCTTTACACCCTTCTAACTGCACTGAGATCAGCGGGCTTAGAAAGGGGCAAATCTGTTTAGGATTCCCGACACACCTAAGCAGCACAGGAACAAGACCATTACAGGGGACTTTAAAATAAAAAGATAACTTTAAAAAAACTACACTGTATTAAAAATTCATTTATTTTGTGTTCTGTACATGATGAAAATGGGTCTTACACAGACCTTTGAAAACAAAACCAAAAAAAAAAGCCAAGTAAAAACATAAATACATATATATTTTCTTACAAAATGTGAGATTTACAAAATATACATACTGCACTTTCAAGCTTGTCTTGTGCACATTTAAATGGGGGGGGGGGACATACCAGGAGCACTGAACCCTGGAAATCAATTATACGGCAAAATTATAGAGGGCTGGTTTGGCTCCCTCTGCTTCATCCCCAAATGCATACACATCCTGCCTGCACACTCCTTTGATGGCTGTCCTCTCCCTTACCAGTTCTCCTTTTTAAAGAGGATTTTAAAACAAGAATTTGATCTCCATTCATTAAAAAAAAGAAATGATCGCAGTCCTTGTGAGTGACGGGGAAACAGAAGTAAGGCATGTTAAAATCCACGATTCTGCAATTAGTTTTCGGGGGGGGGGGGGGTCAAACCATTTATTTTCACAATAGCCAATTAAAAAAACATGGGGGGGGGAAGCTAAATTAATTTTCCCTTCAGGTGCTTTTCATAATCCTTCTCCAAATGTCAAGACAACCCTTTTCTTCTCCAGGTCTCTTAAATCATGGGTGTTTTTTTTTAATTAACTGCTTTTAATCGGTGGTCCTCTTTCAGAAAATGTCCTACATAACAATGCAAACAGGTTGGCATTTTTATTTGGGAAGGACAAGATTTTTGTTTTTTAACGGTCCAGAACACTGTGTTTTGTTTTGTTTTTAAAAAAGAAACGCACATCTTAAAGGACATGCAGAATTCCTGTATCCTCCTGATCTCTGCACCGTGAGCACAAACCAGGGGGGATAAATTATCTGCGGTCATGTCAATCAACAGGACATCAATTTCTTGTGACTGGTAATATTCTGTAGGAGACGCAGCCCAATCCCTACGCATGTTTAGCCAGAAGCTCTACTGGCCAGTTCAATGGGACTTGCTTCCAAGCAAGCGTGCCCAGGATCACAACCTTGTTAGATCCCTAGTCCTGTAGCACCTTAAGAGATCGACAAGAGTTTCAGGGTGGGAGCTTTCGAGAGCCAGAGCTCTTTTCTATCCTAACTGAGGCCACAATGCAGAAAATATGCAGCCAAGTTGCTCCCCAGGAGACCTTACTTCTGCAAAAACAGCCAACGCATCTCAGCAGAGCCTTAAGCACACAAAACCCCCAAGGATTTCCCGAGCACACAATACTCGAGACCAAACGGTTCACGTCCCCCACCGCCAGATATCTGCTTTGTTGCCAAATAATCTAATCCTTCTTTTCCTGTATCAAAGGGCAAGTTATAATTAACAGGAAAATGGAGGCTTGTGGAAAAGAAAGGAGATATTTATCCGTGCTTGTTTTACAGATTTTTCTATGCAGGCTGTTTTGTCAGGTGTTCCGAATTAAAGCAGTCTTTTTTTTAAGAGGGGGGAAGAGGAGGGGGGAGGTCTCGGATTTCCTTCGGTTACACAGCAGCCCTTCTGGATGGAGACTTCCTTTCCCCCTCCGAAATTCCAAAGGAATGTGGAACGACACGAGGGATAGACGAGCCTTCCCCAAATTCTTTTGTTAACTTTGCCCATTAAAACGCTTACGAGGGGAGAAGTGGGGGGGGGGAAACAACACAAAACCCACACTTCTGTTTCTCCTTTGTCTCCGCCAACAAAAGGCCGGGAGAGCAAAGAATGCCTCATTGTCAGCCGCCCTGAGCCTTTGGGGAGGGAGGGTTCCCTCCTTCCCTGCCCCTCCCCAAACCACTCTTGCCAAAGGAGGATTCCGCTGGGAAGAAAACTTTTTAAAACTGCAGCAGAAGGGATTTTCTTTTTGCTTCCCTTCTTACATCCCCAGCCCGCGCGGATTCACTCAGAAGTTAAGTCCCACTGAGATCCAGGCTACTGACGGCCCAAATATATAGGGAGACCCCAAAAAAGGGTAGCGGTTTCAGCAAAGAACAGAAGAAGCAGTGCCTGTCTGTGGTTTGAGTTAGGACGAATTCCGATTGAAGGAACGTTCACCTATCCAGGTGACAAGGGGAATGAGGTAGGGTTGCCAACTTCCAGGCGGTGGCTGGAGATCCCCTCCTCGAATTACAACTGATCTCCAGGTGACAAAGATAAAAAATGGCCCCTTTGGAAGGTGGACTCTAAGGCCTTAAAACCCACTGAAGCCTCTCCCCTCCCCAAACCCCGCCCCCTCCACAGTCTCCACCTCTCCAAATACCTGGACCTGGTGACCCTAAAAATGAGGCCGCTTTTCGTAAACCCCCAAAACAAGGCCACTTTCTTGTAAGATGCAGGCTCTGCCTTCCGGCCTCCCTCCCACCCCTCTCCCTCCAACTCACATCCGTGGCCCCAGAACTCCTGCATTTCTCTTTGAGCAGATACCGTGGGACTTAGGTTCAAAGAATTTTTTTTTAAAAAGCAACCCCCCCCAAAAAAACTGAAGATCCTCACAGGGTGAGAAAAACGTACTGTCTCCAAGGAACAGTCTTAAGAAGGACACTTAAATTCTGTGCAATTCCAACTCGGCCAAGGAAGAGAACCCACTCAGGAGGTCCTTTGCACATAAATTTTTCTCTGCGGGTTAGGAGCAAGGCAGACTTTGGAGGCCCCGCCCCCCCTTCCACCCCATCCTCCTCCTCGCGTCTCCCACACAAGAGACCAAGAGCAGCCTCGAGAAAGGGGGCTGGGGGGGGGAGGCCCTCATACCGCCGTCTCTCCTTTGCTGCCCGTGCGGAGTCTGTGGTAGAAGCGGCGCCACGACTGGAGCGTCTTGCCGGTCCAGATCCAGAAGCCGGTGGTGATGCCCACGATCATGGTCATGAGGTACTTGATGACGAAGACCGTGAAGTCGGGGCTCATGGGGGAAAAGTTGGTGGGGCACGCGATGGCGTAGCTCTTGCAGGTCTGGAGGAGCCAGGTCTTCTCCCACGCGTCCCGGAAGGCCTGCTCGTAGAAGTAGCAGGCCAGCACGATGGTGGCGGGGACGGTGTAGAGGACGCTGAAGACCCCGATCCTCACCATCAGCTTTTCCAGCTTCTCCGTCTTGGTGCCGTCGTGCTTCATGATGGTCCGGATGCGGAAGAGGGAGACGAAGCCGGCCAGGAGGAAGGAGGTGCCGATGAAGAGGTAGACGAAGAGCGGGGCCAGGACGAAGCCCCGCAGGGCGTCCACGCTGTAGATGCCCACGTAGCAGACGCCGCTCAGCACGTCCCCGTCCACCTGCCCCATGGCCAGGATGGTGATGGTCTTGACGGCGGGCACGGCCCAGGCGGCCAGGTGGAAGTACTGCGAGTTGGCCTCGATGGCCTCGTGGCCCCACTTCATGCCGGCGGCCAGGAACCAGGTGAGGGAGAGGATGACCCACCAGATGGAGCTGGCCATGCCGAAGAAGTAGAGGATCATGAAGAGGATGGTGCACCCCTCCTTCTTGGTGCCCTGCACCACCGTGCGGTAGCCGTCCTCGGAGAAGCGCTCCACGCAGACCACCTTGTCCTCCAGCAGGAAGCCGGCCACGTAGGCCACGGCCACCATGAAGTAGCACCCCGAGAGGAAGATGATGGGCCGCTCCGGGTAGCTGAAGCGCCTCATGTCCACCAGGTAGGTGAGGACCGTGAAGAGGGTGGAGGCGCAGCAGAGGAAAGACCAGACGCCCACCAGGAGGCGGGCGAAGCGGACCTCGGCCTCCTTGAAGTACATCAGCCCGTTGGGCAGGTCGGGCTCGCAGGGGGCCCCGCAGTCCCGCTCGCCCAGGAAGCGGTAGCCCAGGTAGGGGGGCACCTTCAGCTGGCGAGGGCAGGAGAAGGCGTAGCTGGTGGGGGGCAGCGGGTGGGCCGGGGGGTGGGGCAGGTAAGGGGTGGGGTAGGCCGTGGCGCCCCCGGGCCCGCCCCCTCCGCCTCCTCCCCCGGGGCCCCCGCCGGAGGTGTCCGAGGTGTTCTGGCCGACGCAGATCTCGCCGGCGCCGTGGACGGGGAAGTTCTCGCAGCGGAGGCGCTCGGGCCACTGGAAGCCGAACTTGTTCATGAGGGCCTCGCAGCCCTGGCGGGCCCGCTCGCAGAGGGAGCGGCAGGGCGGGATGGCCTGCTCGAGGACGGTGCAGACGGGCGCGTACATGGAGCACAGGAAGAACTTGAGCTCGGCCGCGCACTGCACCTTGACGAGCGGGTAGAACTGGTGCACCTCCAGGCCGGCGTCCTCCTGGTTGGTGTGGCCCAGCAAGTTGGGCATGATGGTCTGGTTGTAGGCGATGTCGGTGCACAGCGGGATGGTGATGGGCTGGCAGTAGCCGTGGTCCGGCACGGAGATGCCCCGCTCGCCGTTGTACTGCTGCTGCTGCTGCGCCTGACCCCGTGCGGGAAGCACCGGAGCCTCCGCCCAGAGCAGCAGCAGCCGCAGCGCCAGCAGCAGCCGGCCAGGACGCCCGCTGGCTCAAAGGCATCGGGGCGCCCCCGACGGCGGCTGGCTGGGCTGGCTCTGCGCTCCGGGGCGGGGGGAGCTGGGCGGCGGCGCGCTTGCCAAACCGGCTCTCGGGCGCAGCGCTCGCCAAGAGCTGCCGGGGAGAAAGCGCCCTTTCTGCAGCAGCAGCAGCAGCCCCCGATCAGGGTCTCTGCACCGCCCCCCGCGCCAGTACCTGCCGGGGCCCGAAGCGGTCCCAACTTGGCCGGTCTCCCCGAAGAAAAGTTTGCAGGGGGTGGGAGTCGGGCGCGTCGGCGGCCAAAGTCCTTGCGCCGCAGTTTCCAAAGCGGCGGCACCGCCTCTCCCCCCGCTCCGCTCTCGACCCTTCCAAGTCCGAGAGTCCGGGGAGGCTGGCACCGATGGAGGGAGGGAGGCAGGATCCGTGAATCCGGCCTCGTCTGAAGCGACCTTTTTAAAAGAAACCAAAAAAAATTCCCAAATCCGGCTGCTGCCTGCTTCTCTGCGCGCTCCCCGGATCCGGGTTGAGGGGCAGCCGAAATCTCCCCGGCGCTTGGCAAGAGGCGGCTCGTCTCTCCCAGCGAGAGACCCGCAAGAAGCCGCTTTCCCGACCCCGCAAGGAGGAAAAAAAAAGACACCCGGGCGCCTATATGGCGTGGAGTCCGCCTCGGCGCTCCGCCCCCTCCCGTCCCTGCCCCATTCACAAACCGGGCGGGGGGCGGGCCGTCTCCAGCCCCGCGCTCACCAATGGCGAGCTGCGATCGTCGGCACGCTCCCGGAGCCGATTGGACGGCGGAAGATAAAGTGCTTTCGGGACCAGGGGGCGGGGCTGGGGGCGGCACCGGGGCTTGGGGGCGGGATCCCTCCGGCCGAAAGCCGTGCGAGCAACTTCGTGGAGAGTTTGTTGAATGGAGGGCGCGGGAGAAAAGTTTTTTTTTTGGGGGGGGGGGATCCGGACCCGTCGTGAGGTTCCCCTCCCCAGCAATGAGTCTCCCGACGGGC